AACCCTCTAGCTATCCCAAGCCTTAGGACTTCTAGCCTTCATCTTCTAAATCTGTCTAGTACCACCAGTGACCCAGATTAGGGATTTCTCTTTCTTTTGCTCATGTTTTGAATATTTTTGCTTTCTTTTTGTGGATTTTGGTAGCAACATATATCCTATCAATGAAATATACTATTTTTGCTCTTGTTGATTGTTAATATTTCCTTGATAGTTTGAATGTGTTTGCTTGATTACTGATGATTAACCCATGATTGCACTTGCAGTTGCCCCAGTGACCATGAGTAATTGTTACTGGGAATCACACTTTATTTATGCAACTTTTCGATGATGCCAAAAGGGGGAAGAGATATTGTGCTTTATATATTCTGAATAAGTGATGTTTATAACCTAATGAACCTGGTGCTTGATGATAAGTAAATTTTTCTAACTTTGTATTGATGAATAAGTTGAGTTCTGACCGGGCCTAAGTGAGTGAAAAGCATAGAGTTTGTCATCATAAAAAAAAGGGGAATTTGTTGTCCCAAGTAAAGGTGAAGTTTTGAAGACTGACAAAGGAACTCAGACATGGACCAGGTCCATCTTGTGAAGCACAGTTATGATCAACTCAAACATGTGAGATGCATGTGAAGGAGATAAACCTAACTTATCAGAAGTGATATCTCCTGATCATGATCGAAAATGTTGCATATTGGATAAGGAGAAAGACTCCTTACACAAATCGAAACACGGCTTAAAAAATGGATAGAGTTAGAGGATGAGACCAACTAGAACTCTTCCACCAAGGAAGAGTAACATCTGTATTCTAGTCAATCTCTTCTTACTAACTCCATAAAATATCAGTGTTATTCTCTTTTATAGGTAATGCACATAAGCAGAAGTTAAACGTGAATTGAGAGCAAAATAGCAAGGCGATTTTGCAAGCAATTTATGTGTGATCCAAGTGTGCAATCCTGAAGCTACTTGAACCAGATAGAATAACCAGTTCCAAGTGTCTGTCTCTTATTCTAGTCTGATTGTAGTAGGTGATTTAATATTGTACCTTTCAGCTTTATCTAGAAGCAATTGTATTAGGTACTTAGAGTTTTCAAGTTAGAGTTAACTTGAAGTTGTCGCAACAGTTGAGGTTGTGTGCTACAACGGGATTAGAGTTAATCCTAGGTTTACAAAAGAGTTTTTGTAAATGCAGTTTTTGGCTTAGTGATTTTAGTGGAGAGTTTGGGAAAATCCTACTGGAAGGTAGGTCATGGATTTTTCACCTTTTGAGCCAGTTGTTTTCCATGTAAAATCTCTTTGTTCTTTAATTTCTGTATTTATTATTCCACAACAGTAGTAGTTGGAACACATAGAAGAAACATGTCCTTCTATAATCAGGTTGAACGAAAAATTGGGTCGACACAAATCACCCCCCCTCCCTCTTGTGTGGTATTGAAGTATAAAATATCAATTTGTTTCAGACATACCCTCATAGCCCCCAACGACACTTCCCTCAGTAGCTATTGACAGCATATTTTCTATAGCCTCTTGTTCTTGCAACTCCAAAGTAAACTCAAAAGGCATAGAAAAAGCATTACTTGTAGAATTGGCAGCATTTAAATCGATTCCTGGGGTAGATATCGCAGAATTTTCTTCCACTGGTGGGCTAGAAATTTCTTGATTTTATTCTTCCTCCATTGTATCTTCTTCGGCCATTTTTTTCGGTGAGACAGAAGGAGTGGTCACAGCCACAAATTTCTTGGGAGTCGAGGTTTGCGACTCCGATAAGAACCTAAGAACCTGTACTCGACTGGGTTGGAGAAGTAGGCGGTTGTGACTCTAGATTAGGGTTTGGACTAGTCGAAATGGAGTGTGGGTTCTATCACTGGTGTTTCAACGGGTGAAGACACAGTGGAGACAATGCTTGGAACATTTTGGGTTTCCTGATTTTCAGACATGGTGGAGTGTATTGAGTTAAAGAAGAAAGTGTTTGGTTTGAAGAAGGAAAATAGGAATTTTGGATTTTTTGATGTGAACAGTTATGAAAGTGACTGTCAGAGGATATATTTAATAGGGGTGAGGGACCGGTTAGGAACGGGTATCAATTTTGGGTAGTCGGGTCACTTCATAACAGGTGAGACGCTTGGGTTCAAAAAGCGGGAAAGAGAGAAACTGACAATTTAATGACGTGGCAGCGTTTCAGCCATTTAAAGATTGTGCATGAGAGTACAGAGGAACTACTAACCTGTGTCAAGGGAACCAGGTTCCCTGATAGATTTTGCAAATGTAAGCCTCATCCTTTGACCAAAGTGCAATGCATTAGCTACTTGTTTGCCCTATAATCGTCCTGCGTGTCTACTTGTAACGGTATAGAGATAAGTTAGACTTTGATAGAAAACACTTTTAAGCTATTTTACCTGTACATTTCTTTCATAGCCAATCATCGAGGGACCAGGTCCCTAGCTAGATTTCATCAGCCCTAGAGCCAAGTGATTCTTTTCAAAGTGATCTCTACTCAGTGCTTTGGTGAAGATATCTGCAATTTGATCTGCTGTGCTGCAAAACTTCATGTAGATGAGCCCTTTCTCAACATTGTCTTTGAGGAAATGATGTCGCCCATCAACATGCTTTGTTCTCTTATGTTGAACTGGATTATTTTCCATGTTAAGAGCGCTGGTGTTATCACATAGTAAGGGCACACAATCAGAAAACACACCGAAATCTTCTAGCTGCTGCTTGATCCACAGCAGTTGAGTACAGCAAGAGGCAGCTGCCACATACTCAACTTCAGCAGTTGAAAGGGCCACTGAGTTTTGTTTTCTTGTGCCCCATGAGATTAGACACGAACCTAGAAAATGTGCCATGCCAGAAGTGCTTTTCCTTTCCACCAGATAACCAGCATAGTCAGCATCAGCATACCTTATTAAGTCGAAGTTATCTCCTGAGGGATAGTAGTTCCTTTGAGATACCTCAGAATTCTCTTTGCAGCCTTCAGATGAGACTCCTTTCGATTGGATTGGATTGAAACCTGGCACAAAGTCCCACACTGAAAACAATGTCTGGTCTACTTGCTGTGAGATACAAGAGTGACCCAATAATGCCTCTATACATGGTCTCTTTTACAGGAGAACCATGTTCATCCATATCCAGGCGAGTGGCAGTGGCAATAGGTGTATCAATGATCTTTAAATTCTCCATCTCAAATCTCTTCAGAAGCTCTTTGATGTACTTTTGCTGACATATCATTGTGCCCTTAGGAGTTTGCTTGACTTGTAGACCCAAGAAGAAACTCAATTCCCTATCATGCTCATTTCAAATTCACTTCCCATGAGTTTTTCGAATTCCTCACACAAAGAATCATTTGTTGCTCCGAAGATAATGTCATCAACATAGACTTGCACTATGAGCAGGTTCCTTTCCCGTTTCTTCAGAATTAGAGTGTTGTCAATTTTCCCTCTTGTAAAGCCATTTCTAGAAGAAACTTGGACAACCTTTCATACCATGCACGAGGAGCCTGCTTCAGTCTATATAATGCCTTGTCAAGTTTAAACACGTGCTCAGGATTCTCATGGCACTCGAAACCAGGCGGTTGCTTGACGAAAACTTCTTCTTTCATAAAGCCATTCAAAAATGCACTTTTGACAACCATTTGAAACAATTTGAATTCCATATGAGATGCAAAGTCAATAAGGATTCTGATGGCCTCCATTCGAGCAACTGGAGCAAAAGTTTCATCATTTTCAATTCCTTCTTATTGATTGTTTTGTTCCCTTGAACTACTAACCTTGCCTTATTTCTTGTGGTGTTTCCAAACTCATCAAGTTTGTTTCTAGATACCCACCTGGTTCCTATGACAGTTCTACCAGCAGGTCGAGGAACCAAGTGCCATACATTATTCCTCTCAAATTGATGAAGCCCATCTTGCATAACCGTAATCCAGTCAGCATCTTTCAATGCTTCTTTGATATTTTTGGGCTCAATTTGAGAGAGAAATGCTAAGAAGGCAAGTGAGTTTCTAGACTTTGATCTAGTTTGAATTCCTAGGTCAAGGGGGGTGATCACATTTTGAAGAGGGTGTGAGCTCTTGTGCTTCTAGTTGGACACCTGAATCTCCTTATGAGAGGATCCAGGTTCTTCTGGATATGATCCATGTGTCATGTTCCTCACCTCAGCAGCTGGAGTTCCATGTACAACATCCACAAATCTGTTTTCTGCTTCAGTTATTGTGATTGAGGGACCAGGTTCCTCTACGTCAGTTGGAAATTCAGCTGTGCCATTGTCATTTGATTCCTTGACCTGACTCATCATATCGGCCTTTCTATTTTCCATGTCAATGACTTCACCAGGGACATTTGATAACTCTCCATCTTGATCAGCCTTATCATGTGCAACTTTTCCAAGAGGGTGTTGTGCTTCGTCAAAGATCACATGTATGTTTTCCTCAACACATTGAGTTCTTTTGTTGTATACCTTGTAGGTTTTGCTTTGTGATGAATATCCAAGAAATATTCCTTCATCACTCTTGGAATCAAACTTTCCCAGAGTTTCCTTACCATTGTTGAGGATAAAGCATTTACAACCAAATGTCGTCAAGTGTGTTAGCTTAGGTTTTCTCCCATTCAGCAGTTCATACAAGGTTTTGTTCATGAGGGACCTGATCATGAACCTGTTCACTAAGTAGCATGCAGTGTTGACTGCCTCTGCCCAGAAACCTTTTGCAACACCACTATCAATCATCATTGTCCTAGCCATGTCTTCAAGAGTCTTATTTTTCCTCTCCACGACACCGTTTTATTTAGGTGTTCTTTGAGATGAAAAATTGTGACTTATACCATTTTCAGCACAGAACTCGCCGTAATTTGCACTGTCGAATTCTTTACCATTATCAGATCTTAGACTCACAACATTATGGCTCATCTTTACTTGGATCTTCTTGAAAAAAGCAGCGAACACTGAAAGGTCTCATCTTTGGTTCTAAGGAACAAGGTCCATGTGAACCTGGAGTAGTCATCCACAATGACGAAGATTTACTTCTTTCCTCCTCTACTTGGCACTCTCATAGGTCCACAAAGATCCATATGGAGGAGATCAAGTGGCCTTGAGGTGCTTACTTCCTTTTTGGGTTTGAAGGAGGACCTGATCTGCTTTCCTTTTGCACATGCATCATACACCTTGTGATCGTTGAAGCTTGACTTAGGCAATCCACGAACCAGGTCCTTCCTGACCAACTTGTTCAGCAATGTAAAACTTGCATGGCCCAATCTTCTATGCCATAGTTCAGCATCATCATCCATAGCACTCAGACACGTGAGATCTCTATTATGTAGTGACTCAAAATCAGCGACATAGATGTTCTTGAATCTTTTTGCCATCAGGATCACATCACCAGTCACAAGGTTTGTGACTGTGCAGATTTTTGACACAAATTCCACCTTGTTGCCTTTGTCGCAGATCTGAGAGACACTCAGCAAGCCGTACTTCAGGCCATTCACGTAATACACATTTTCGATTGAGTGAGTGAGAGACTTCCCAATTCTTCCTACTCCAAGGATGTATCCCTTTTTTCCATTTTCAAATGATACACTCCCTCCTTGCAGGGCTTTGAGTGAAAGAAAATCATCAGTGCTTCCAGTCTTATGCTTCGAGCAGCCACTATCCATGTACCATCTTTGGCTGCTTCCTTTCACTGCTCCCTGCGCAAGAGAATCAAGGATTATACTAAGGAACGCAAACAAGTTTGGGTCCCTTGTAATGAGGAAAAGGGTGAATCAAAGTTCTTTTTGTCCAAGCAGGTAATACACGTTTGTTATATGAGGGACCGGGTTTTTTAGCAATAGTTACTTTTTCAGCAAAAACTTTGTTTTTCTGCTGGGACTCGAATCTGGCTTTACATGTTTCCTTGAAATGTCCAGTGTTACCACAGTGAGTGCAGAGCCAGTTATCAGGAACAATAATGTACTTGTTGTGTGGGTTGTAAGGGTTTTTTTCTTTTTGGAACCCGATTCCCTGCCTGTTCCCCCCTCCCCCCTCCATTATTCGTATGCGTAGCAGTGATTGCATTAGAAGACCAGGTCATCTTAAGAGATTTTTCTAGGTCACTCTTCACCTCGCCTAGATCTTCCTGAAGTTGTTTGTTTTTCTAAAGCTCAGCACACATACTAGATTTCACTAATTTTAGTTCATTTTCAAGCCTAAGGTGTGCCTCACTTGCAACTTCCTTTCCCTTTTGAGTGTTCACAAGCCTACTTTCCCTTCTTAGTTCCTCAATTAATTCCTTTAGGTCTACAACTACTACCAATAGGACATCTCTCTCATGCTCTATGTTTGCAATTCTCTCACTCAAAATATCTTTTTCCCTTTTTAAACTCTCAATGGTCTCTCTTAGATCAACCGCAACCACCACTAGATCATCTCTCTCATGTTCTATTTCTCCTAGTTCCGTGGTTAGCGCATTTTTATCATTGATGAGACTGTGATATGCATCAATTAAAACATTAGCCAAAGACGTAAGCTTCTTATGAGAATAGGATTTCAAATTTCTTTGAACATCCAAAAAGTTTACCTCATCTTCATCGTCAACTTCCTCATCCTCATCTAATTTAGCCATTAGAGCAAATATGGAATCATATTCAGCTGCTTCACTTTCTACTGCCATCATGGAGCTGTCACCTTGATCATCATCATCTCCAGATTCGCTGGATGAGCCTCCCCATGCAGCAAGAGCTTGTTTCACAATATTGTCAGCGGCATCTTTTCTCTTGAAATTTTTGTCAGGAACCTTGTTCCATTTGCCTCATTTGTTTGTGTTGTGCTTGTACTATTCTTGCTTAAGGAGAGGGCAGTCCTTGATGAAGTTTTCTGACTTCCTGCATTTATGACATAGGTCATACCCTCTTGGCTTGCTTGAACTGCCCCTCTTTGGGATACCTCTATTTCTGCGAACCATTTTCTGAAATCTCTTTGTCAGATATGCCATATCACCATCCTCACCTCCTGAGTCATAGTTGTCTGTCTTGAGGACTAGGTTCTTCTCTCTTTTAGGATCTCTTCTCTTATTGTCCTTCTTCTTATTCATTTCATAAGTTTTCAGATTACCAATGTGTTCATTAATGGTTAGCTTCTGCAAATCCTTTGCCTCTGTGATGGCGTTTACCTTGCTTTCCCAGGAACCAGGTAATACACTAAGTATTTTTCTGACAAGTTTGTTCCTAGGAATGATTTCTCCCAGTGAGTGAAGCTCATTGATGATAGAGGTGAAACGAGTGTGCATGTCCTGAATGGACTTGTCGTCCTTCATTCTGAAGAGCTCATACTCAGTTGTTAACATGTCGATCTTCGACTACTTGACTTGAGTTGTCCCTTCGTATGCTGTTTGAAGAGCTTCCCAGATCTCCTTAGCACTTTGACAAGCTGAGATGCGATTCATCTGGTCCGATGCCATAGACAAGAATCCTCTTTGCCCTGAAATTCTTCTCAATAGCCTTTTTATCAGCATCATTGTACTCTTTTCTCATTTTTGGGACTGTAGTTGTTCCCTCACCAACAATTTTCATGGGAACAAAAGGTCCACCACAGATTACATCCCACAACTCTGAGTCCTCAGCCATGATGAAATCATGCATTCTTCTTTTCCACCAACCATAGTATTGGCCGTTGAATCTAGGTGGTTTGTACGTTAATTGTCCTTCCTCAAAATTTGGTGGAGTAGCCATGATCAAGATCCTTTCTAGGTATTAACCTTTTAGAAAGAACCTGCTCTAATACCAATTGAAAGAAACTAAGGGTCCACCAAACTATATAGAGAACCAGGTTCTCTATTAGTTCCCACAGAACACACGCACACTGTAGTAAGTAAATGACACAATGGAGTTTTATGTGAAAAACTCTCAACTCACGGAATTAACAACCACGACCTACTCTTGTAGGATTTCAACTTCACTACTGAGTAAAATTCAGATTACAACCTATTGTAACCTAGGAATTAACCTCTTAATCCCTCACTAACTTGTAACAACTCTATTACAAGCCACTTTGTAATAACTCTATTACAAAGCTTTACAACTCGACTAATTCTAGCCAAGACACAAACAAAAAGGTTTATGATTTACAAGAGTTCCCTACACAATGCTTCTAACTAAGCTAAATAGGAATTACAAGTAAAGTACTTTAACAAAGGTGCAACACAACTAAGGATATATAATGACTCAATATAGGAAACTAGTCCTTCGTGATGTTGTTCTTTGTTCTTGATGCCCTTGAGAATCACTTGCAAGATTGACACAGACTTGAGAGAATTTATTTACCATTCAAGAATGTTAAGTCCAAACTTGAAATAATACGTTAAAAGATAAAATTGTGAAAAAGTTTAAGAAATATTTATAAATTACACTACAATAAATATTTATATGTATAAAATATTTATAAAAATTATTTAAATATTCTATCGGGTTGGTTTGGTTTCGGTTTTACTTTTGTTTAGTAAAAAATAAACCAAACCAATTATTGTCGAGATTTTTTTCCAATACCAAACCAAATCAAACCAAACCACAATCGATTTTTTTTCGTTTTGACCCGTATTATTGGTTTGGTGCGGTGTATCGATTTTCTTTGTATACCCCTACCTCTAGGTAATAGGCATGGCAATGGGGCAAGGCAAGAGCAGGCAGGACAGGGCAGGGCAATGGTTAAACGGGGCAGGGCAGCACTGGTCAAAACTGAAAATTTTCAAATATTAAATAGGGCAAGACAGGTAGTAGGGCAAGCTTTCCATATGATCTGTTTTAATGTTTGACGGGTAACACAAGTGAAAATTTGAGGTAAAAATAGTACGGGCTAGCCAATTTTCGGACTGGTCATTAAAATATAACCGGTGTTTGCAAAGTCATTGAAAAATAGTCACTATTTTACTGCAACACGGAAAGTTCCAACATAGTATACTGGAGATCGGTGCACCTGTGTATGAACTTCTAGCATATTATGCTGGAACTCCAACACGCGGAAAGTTCCAGCATAATATACTGGAGATTGGAGCACCTGTGTATGAACTTCCAGTATATTATGCTGGACCAGTATATTATACTGGAATTCCAGTATATTATGCTTGAGTATTTTTCGAATTTTGAACAATGTTTTCGTTCAGATTTATCTTTATATGAAAAGTGGCTAAATTTCGATTACTTTTGAAACCGTGGCTATTTTTGAATGGCCACTTTAAATCTGACTATTTTTGACGAGCTAGCCAGTTTTCGGACTGGTCATTCAAAAATAGCCAACTTTTGCAAAGTCGTTGAAAAATAGCCATTATTTTGCTACAACACGGAAAGTTCCAGCATAATATACTGGATGTCGGTGTACCTGTGTATGAACTTCCAGCATATTATGCCGGAACCCCAACACGCGGAAAGTTCCAACATAATATACTGGAGATTGGAGCACCTGTGTATGAACTTTCAGCATATTATGCTGGACCGGTATATTATACTGGAATTCCAGTATATTATGTTGGAAGTCCAGTATACTTATGTTGAAACTCCAGTATATCATACTGGAGTTCCAGTATGTTATACTGGAATTCCAGTAATTATGCTGGAGTATTTTCCGGATTTTGAACAGTGTTTTCATCCAGATTTATCTTTACATGAAAAGTGGCTAAATTTCGATTACTTTTGAAACTGTGACTTTTTTTGAATGACCACTTGTAAATCTTACTCCCTCCGTTCCAATTTATGTGAACCTGTTTGACTGGGCATGGTGTTTAAGAAAAAATGAAGACTTTTGGAATTTGTGGTCAGTATTTGTGTGGTTATAAAAGCTTCTCATTAAGGGTAAAATTGTAAGTTTAAGCTAAGTTGTTTCCAAATTTAGAAAGGGTTCATTCTTTCTGGAACGGACCAAAAAAGAAATAGGTTCACATAAACCGGAACGGAGGGAGTACTATTTTTTAATTTCTCCCGTCTTTTCTGTTACGAAACCCATGCGTCCTGGTACATCTTATTCTTATTAGGTTAATTTGGTCATGATGATTTACCATTTTATTTTGCTAACTAAGTAATCTAAAGCTTCATTGGTTGAGAAAATATATTGCTACAAGGCTACAGCTCTCTGCAAAAATGCAGGATAAGGCTGCGTACAATAGACTCTTGTGGTCCGGCCATTCCTCGTACCCAGCGCTTAGCAGAAGCTTAGTGCACCGAGCTGTCTTTTTTTAAGCCCACGGGTCTATTGATGTTCAAGGTAATTAGTTTTATTTCAATTTCTATAATTTTCTTTTAGGCCTAATAGTTAATTACAAGTAAAAAGCTTCAGCTTTGGTTAGAAAAATATAAGATGGCTATTACAAAAGCTGAAAGTTCAATTTGTGTAATTTAGTGACTTGCTGCAGTAATTATCTAATGCCATGCGATTGGATATGGTTAATTGCTCATTATGCTACTGTTAACTGAATAGAAAATTGCAATACTCCAGTGCTAGAAATGCAATGACTGCTTCGAAAGTGTATTAAACATAAACAGTTTACCCATTTACTTGGGCTAAAGCATTAATATAAGGGAATTTACTCTTTAATAAACTACTATATAACATTGATAAAAGTCACATTTTATTCAACTGATATACATAAATAACTCCTATTGACATGTCAATTGTAATGTCTGAATAGAGTTGAAATATTTTTTTTTAATTTTAACCTGTCCCGCCCTGCCCTGTATTTTTTTCAAAAAATTTCCCCGCCCCGCCCTACCATCCCCTGTCCCGCCCTGCCCCATTTATGTATTCTTTTAATTCTATATTTTGTCTTTCGCTTTACAATATGCTATTTTTTTTTATGTATAGAATTAAAAGAATACATAAATGGGGCAGGGCGGGACAGGGATGATAGGGCGGGGCGGCAAATTTTTTTGAAAAAAATGCTAAACAAGGCAAGGCAGGGCGGGTTAAAATGTTAGCGGGGCAAGGCAAGTCTTGACCCGCCCTACCCTGCCCCACCCTATTTGACATCCCTACTAGGTAATTTTCAAAGCATGGAAGCTAATCATGTGTGTTATTCTTTACTTGTTTGCGTTTTGCTTTGCCAAGTCAAGATACTTGAAGCAATTGGCAGTCTTCACTTACAAATGGATTTAGCATATTTTGATTGAGTTGAGGCCATCAGTATGATTGGAATTGCCAAACAACAAGGCAAATGAAAATAACTTTTGAATCAACGGAATCTAACAGTATCATGGGTGAAAGTGATACTGTGAAATACTTCGAAAGTTTTATGTGTCAACTGAATCGAATAGCAGTAGAACTAATAGTATTTTTGGCCCCTGTGACTGTGAACTGAATGAATAAATAGATGAAATCAAGAAACAATTGAACTAGCAGTTCGAACAAAAAGTTATAAAAACAAGTCATATGGGCTCACAAAGACTGACTAAAAAGTAAAAGAAGAGATAATGATATCGAAGTAGTTCCGGTGATGCCATAAACAAAAAGTTCAACATAGACGCAGCAGATACAGGGAGAGAGTAACTCTGACTAGGTAACTCCGAGACGAGGCAGCCAAGCACAACATCTTGCGTTGACCACATCAAACCAATCCCCACAAGATCAAAGTTTGGCTTTTTCTTTCTTGCCTATCTAGTACCAATAAAGGGAGTAAATATCCCCTAGCAGTTCAACAAATACATATTAGACTAACTTCAGAAGTCATGACGAAACTTTCACCAATCGGTTATGGCTCCATTTGTCCCCTCTAGGTTTACGAACTACTGTGATTAACAGCATTAGCCATGAACTGCAGATGTAGAAACTCTTGGAAGTCGAGCTTAGCAGATGTAGAAACCAGCGATGAAGACTTTGGGTTGACCCATGGCAATATCTTCTGGTCGAGTGAACTCCTAAAATTTAGCAAAATCTTGGCTCTACAACTCTCCATGAAAAGCACACAATGTTGAATATCTTTATCCATTAAACCTGAGCAAGAATATCTCTTTAGATTGTGCTTATAGACCAATGGGCCTAGATTTATTTTTGCTCAATAGTTTCATCAGATTTTCTTCCTCGTCAAGTTTTTTCCTTAGAGCAGCCTCCTCCTTTTGTCTTTGAATGAGCTCTAGCTCCCGAAGTCGTTCTTCCTCTTTTCGCTGCTGCTCCAGAGCCTCTCTCCTTTGAGCCTCTTGTACCCTCCTCCGGTTCTCCTCAAGCATTTTGTCCAGCTCCTCTCTTTCTTTTCGTGCTTTTTCCTGTTTAATCCAGTGTTAAGCTAGAAACAATGCTATTGAAAGGTTCAAAGATCTGTATATTTAGACAAAGAACATGAAAGTTCAATCTCCATGAAATGGAATGACAAGATTCTGTGTTGGAGTTGTTAGACGGAGGAATAAGATTCATAAAAGGAAGAAATCTAGCAAATGTGCTCTCTAAGGTTGAACTAACCAGTAGATTTTCAAAGTATATAGACAGGAGGTCTGTGGAGTAAAAATCAGTGAACCCCATGCCTAAACCTCTTTAACGAAAAGCTGCTACGAAAGCACAAGTAGAACAAAGAAGAACTAAACCTTCCCTGCTTCCTTCCACATCCAAATTAAGTATTGGTAAGTTTTACTCCCAACGTTTCAATTTATGTGAACCTGTTTTTTGATTGGGCATCGAGTTTAAGAAAAAATAAAGTCTTTTGGAATTTGTGGCCCTAAACAAGTTAAAAAGAGGCCCAGAGTATTTGTATGGTTATAAAAGCTTCTCATTAAGGGTAGAATTATAAGTTTAAGCTAAATTGTTTCCAAATTTAGAAAGGGGTTATTCTTTTTGGAACGTACCACAAAGGAAGTAGGTTCTCATAAACTGGAACAGAGGAAGTAACATTTAGTAAAAAACGTAATATCTTTCTATAAAATCTCATCTCATAAAAATAAGATGACAAAAATGAAAACTAAAAAAGCAGAAAATATAATGATTAGTAAAATATCAACAACAGGTCAAGAGTCAATACCCAGCAAGAGAAACTTACCTCTTTTAGCCTTGCCTCGGTAAGAGCAGCTTGCTTTTCTCTTTCAAGTTGAATTACAACATCTTCAAACAGTTTTCTATGACCTTCTTCTATTCGTCTCTCAATTTCCAGCCTAACTTCCTCTGAACATAACTTTTCGTCGACCCTTTTCCTTATTTCTTCCTCCAATCTCTTTGCAGTTTCCTCTTCTAATTGCTTGAGTTCTGCCTCTAGCTGTTGCCTGAAAATTATTCAATCAATCCAAAATACAGCGGGCACATGAAATAAAAGCTCAACCCTTCAGCAATTCCCAAGTTTGAAAAGAAAAAACAAGTAAGTCAAGCAAGATACATGCTACATCTACATATTTTGAAGTATAATGGCCTGGAATGCCAAGAAATATCACCAGATCAAGATGCAAGATGAAAATGTGTGGCACATTAAGACCCAAAGATGACCAGGTCATTAACTCCTCGACTAATAACCCAACGGGCCAAAAGTCGACAATGGTTGAACAGAATGCTCAGACTTTTGTACAAATATGTTAACATGAGCAGTAATTTCATAAAAGCACGCAATGAATAACTCCGCAATGACATATAAGTACCAAAATAGATACCTTTCACGATTACATAAGAAGATACAGCTACTGTTGCTTCTTGCGGTGGTGTACACACACACAGGGGCTGGTCTAGCTAATAAGTTACAGCTTCATCTGAACCAGTAGCCTTGGCTTAGACTCTGGAAATTCGCATCTGCTCTCTCTCTCTCTCTCTCTTTATATATATATATATATATATATATATATATATATATTATATATATATATATATATATTTGTTTACATTATACTTGCTATAGACTTCTTTAACTTAAAGGCTAAATATAACCTCCAGAAAGAAACTTAAGAATATCGACAGGCATCACATCCAACAAACCTTTTCTTTTCTTCTTCCTCTTTTTTCAATTTTTCTGCAGCACTTTTCCGCTCAGTGGACGTAAGACTGGGACTTCGAGACTTGGGTACAGGAGACTCTGAGGAACTATGACTTCGTCGTCTCCTGTGACGCCTAGTTGTCGGGGACCGGCTTCTTTTGCGTCTTGCATCTGGTGAACGGCTCCGACGGCGAGTACCAGAGCGACTTCTTCTCCTGTGAAACAAAGCAACAATAGCTTGAAATGCATATATGTGATAATGAGAAGGTCCAAGCCAACTTTGACGAAATCCTCCATTAAATATAAGCTATCCCAAGTGGTTCACTGTCACAACCTTCCTCTTGCAGAAACATAAAATCTTATTGATGCATTAAAAGATCACAAGGTAATATGACAAGCAGTCCTCTGAAGAGGAGAATTGAAATACACAAAGAAAACAAAGCCTTACAATGTGAAAGTGGATATATCAAGGACATTTACAACTTTAACCCAAAGGTGTGGCCTAGTGGAAGCAAACCTTGTAGATCAAGGTTTAAATCCCAGTAGAGATAAAAATACTATGATTTTTTCCATCTGCCTAAATATTGGTGGTCAAAGTTACCTAGTACTGTACTAGTGGAAGGTAACAGGTGCCTGGTGGAATAGTCGAGGTGCATGCAAGCTGGCCCCGACACCAGCATTATTAGAAAAAGGGGGCATTTACAGCTTTATATTTCATGGAAGTCATAAAATCTCTGTGCTAACTAATCACACACACGCCGCGAGCATGTACATATATCAGGGAAACTATGTCCTTGCACTTTCTACAAAATAAAGCATACTAATGCCAACAGATCAGACACATCTTTAAAGAACCTTCCCTTTAACCTCAACCGATACACCGAATCAGGGAAACTATGTCATTTAGTGAGGACGGATACACCGAATTGCTGCATCCCATATTAAGGAATACTGAAAGCTGCTAAAAAGCGTAGTCTCACCCGAGTATTTGGAAGATTTGTGGAAGTCTTCTATGATTCTTTATCTTGTTTATTTTATTTTCTGGAAATTCATACTTGAATTTGCAATGCTGAAATTTGAATTATATGCTCATGGAATTGGCTCTAGTATGCTGGATAGAGTTGTTTTAATGATGGAGAAAAGTTCCAACGGATTAATATGGTCACATAAATTCAACAAGAAAAGATACATTTATATTAAATTTCAATTTAAACTATTTTTAGTTAAGATACTAAACATTTAAGTAGAAATAAAACCAGTCTTGTTAAAGAAAAAATTAAAGTAAAAATTGCACCTTTTCAACCAGACAGAGATTCAAATTCATATACGATAGCTCTAGAGCATAAAAAACTCATTTTTTCAATAAAGATTTAATGTAAATTCATATATGTATAAGAGCTGGTGATTCCGCAAAGAGATTACCTGCTGGAATACGGTGAGCGGCTTCGGTCACGGCGGCTCCGGTGGCGGCTGCGGCGGTGATTCACCGGTGATCGAGACCGAGAGTACCGCCGAGAATACGACGGCGACCGGGATATACTCCGAGCCATGATTACATAAAGTAGGAAAATCTGAATTTTTGCTCAATCGCGAGCTAATTAACGGGTTGGGGGAGAATTTTTTAGACCCGATTGATTTGCTGCTTGGCCCATCAATGTGATCCTTCGTGGCCCAAAAGATGTATAGAACCACCTAGCCTCTTTTAAGGTAAAAATAGCACGGTATAGCCAGTTTTCAGACTGGTCAATCAAAAATAGCCAGCGTTTACCAAGTCAATGAAAAATAGCCACCGTTTTGCTGCAATAGAGACCGGTCCAGCATAATATACTGGAGTTCGGTGCACTTGTGTATGAACTCCAGCATATTATGCTGGACCGGTATACTTTGCTGGCTCCAATATAATATACTGGAGTTTGGAGCACCAGTGTTCCAGTCTCCAGTATATTATACTGGACCAATATACTTGCTGGAACTCCAGTATATTATGCTGGAGTTTAGTGTATTTATGCTGGAACTCCATCATATTATGCTGGAGTTCCAGCATACTATCCTGGAACTCCAGTATAATATTTCAAGTATACTTATGCTGGAACTCCAGTATAATATACTGGAGTATTTTTCGGATTTTGAACAGTGTTTTCGCTCAGATTTATCTTTACATAAAAAGTGGCTAAATTTCGATTACTTTTGAAATTGGGCTATTTTTGAACGACCGGTTGTAAATCTGGCTATTTTTAAATTTTTCCCCAAGGGCATCATATAAAACGTTAGAAAATGACATAAATAGGATATCTAAGGGGCGATTTTTAACTTTTGGCCTTTAATTATGAAGCATTTACACTTTAATACATTGTGCATTTAGTTATTTTTTTAAATAGCGATCCTGAAAATGGTTATTTTTGCATTTCCCCAAAAAATTTATATAAAATCTTTATTTTACATGAAAATAACATATGCTAGTTAGTTTTCGGACTGGTAATCGAAAATTAGCCAGCGTTTGCAAAGTTAAAAATATAATGACCCGGCCGGTCGTTTTGAGAGTGTTAGCCCCGATCCCCTATTTACTGCTTCCCCTAAATTATTTTATGCTTATGTGACTTGCCGGGAGGATTTGTTTTGGTTTTAGAGTGAAATGGGACACTAAGTCCCTAAAATGGAAGCTTAAGTCCTAGGATTTTGACCGTAGTTGGAATTGTGTGAAAATAACTCTGGAATGGAGTTTCGTCGGTTCGGTTGGCTCCGTTGGGTGATTTTGGACTAAGGAGCGTGTATGGATTGTGATTTGGAGGTCTGTAGTTGAATTAGGATTGAAATGCCGAAATTTGAATTTTTGAAAAGTTTGATCGGGAGTAGAATTTTTGATATCGGGGTCGGATTTCGATTCCGAAAGTTGGAGTAGGTCCATAATGTCAAATATGACTTGTGTGCAAAATTTGATGTCAATCGGACGTGATTTGATAGGTTTCGGCATCGGTTGTAGAAGTTTGAAGTTTCAAAGTTCATTAAGTTTGAATTGGAGTGCGATTCGTGTTATTAGCGTTGTTTGATGTGATTTGAAGGCTCGACTAAGCTCGTATGATGTTTTAGGATTTGTTGGTATGTTTGGTTGAGGTCCCGGGGGTCTCGGGTGGATTTCGGGTGGTTAACGAACTAGAGTTGGGCTTGTTCGAATTGCAGAAAATATGGTGTTTTAGTTGTTGGTTTTCTCCTTCGCGTTCGCGAGGGGAGTTTCGCGATCGCAAAGGGGAGCTGGTGGCATGTGAGAATTTGTGCCTCGCATTTGCGAAGTGGGAGCCGCGTTCACGAAGGTCTGGACAGTGGTGGATCGCGAACGCGTGAAGGGTATCGCGTTCGCGTAGAGGAAGTAGAGGCGGCCGGGACCCCAAAGCGTTTGTTCTACGTGTTCACGTAGTAGAGGTTGCGTTCGCGAGCGGGTCCTCGCGTCTGCGTAGAAGGGTTTTTTGGTCAGTAGCTATTTGTGCTACGCGAACGTGAGAGTGAGGCCGCGTTTGCGAAGAAGGATTCACCTGGGCAGATATAAACATTTCAAAATCGAGAGTTTGCCATTTTCATCATAACTTGAGATAGAGAGCTCAGTTTTAGGCGGGATTTTAAGGGCGTTTCAGAGGCAACAATTGGGTAATGATTCTTGACTTATTTTTTGTTTAATATCCACTAATTCATCGTTAATTTCATTATTTAATAAAGGTTTTGGGCTGAGAAATTTGGGGAAAAGGTGGGAAAGTTCCTCAACTGAATTTTGGGTTTTTGATTGAGATTTTGGTGTTAGATTTGACTAATTTTGGTATGGGTGGACTGGAGGTTTGGGGCGCATTTTTTATTTCTTGTTGAAGTCTTGATTTCATTAACTAGATTAGTTTCTTATAGTTATATTGTCACGCCCCAAACCTAGGGAGGCGTGGCTGGCACCCGGTGCCGTATTGGCCCGAGCGAACCACTCTGTAACTCTTTCTTTTTCTTCTGACTATCATGGGCCAACATGGCCACAACTCGTAATGTATAACTATAAATGGGAAAACACTGTATCAATGAACCATCTTTCTTAAAACATGAATACATATGGGCCGTCAAGGTCTCTAACATACTGTACAAATTGAACCTCTGCCTGCAAATCCTCTACGATTATTTGACATCAAATGGGACAGGGTACCAGCCTACCCAGAAGTCTGTAGCAAAACTCTGACACGATGACTTATAGACTCGGCTGTACTCCGAATGAGGTGGAGTCTTACCGATCCTTCGCTGAATGCTGACCTCGTAAAAATACATATGTAAAAATTCAAATTTTCCTAACTTCAAAATTCATGTAAAAATACATATATAAAGAGTACAAATTTTCGTACGCTTAATTCTTAAAATGATAAAAAGATAACCTTCTTTTCTTGTGAGAAAATAATTTCTATCTTTACAATGAAGAAAATCTCATAAACTTTCTCATATTATGTGTATAATTTAAAGCATATTCGAAAGTAGTAATATTAATAACTACATAAAATCATATTTTACAAATTTTTTACAAAAATGTTCCACTCAAAATATTATATCAAATGTATATAATGGTAATATTGTTAAACTTACCGAGTCTTACAATAACATAGTCACAAATCCTTTATAATCTCATGAATGGTGTTAATCCCTTCAAACTTATATGGATTACTACGACTTATCCTAATATTAAAGTACGGGATGTAATATATATTTATTGTATGAAATTGCTTTTGGCTAGATTTGGGCCATTCAGAGTCGGAAAGTCGAGGAAAAGGCATTCTTACTGATGATTGAGCTTGGTTCGAGGTAAGTGGCTTGCCTAACCTTGCGTGGGGGAAATCCTCATAGGATTTGGTATTGTTGTGACAATTCTGTGATATGTGAGTGCTGTGTACGCGAGGTGACGAGTGAGTAAACGGGCTAATTGTTGAAAATTCGGTTTTTACTGTCATCCCAGCATGTGTAGTTATCCTGTTTAGCCTAATATCGCATGTCTACGTGCCTTAAATGCTTATTTGAAATATGTGCAGCATGATTAGTTGAATTCCTGTTTTTCCTTGATTTGTATTAGTCTTAAACTGTAGAATTCTTGCTGTAAATTGTTGTTTCCATCGGTTTTGAGTTGTGTGTTTACTTTTGGGACTATGAGGCGGTACCTCGGGAGATCCCCTTGCATTACTATTGGGACTACGAGGCGGTACCTCGGGAGATCCCCTCGCATATTTACTTTTGGGACTACGAGGCGGCACCTTGGGATATCCCCTTGCATATTTATTTTTAGGACTACGAGGCGGTACCTCGAGAGATCCTCTATTGAGTATTTACTTATGGGACTTCGAGATGGTATCTCGGAAGCGCCCCTGTTGTTTACCTCTATGTGATGTGTTGTTCCTTTACTGTAAATTCTCTTTGTTAAATTATCAGTTTTTCATCATATTGTTATATCTTCTATCTTATTATTATATCCTAGTAGGGCCCTGACCTGACCTCATCAATACTCTACCGAGGTTAGGCTTGCACTTACTAGGTACCGTTGTGGTGTACTCATGCTACTCTTCTGTACATGTTTTTTGTGCAGACCCAGGTACGTCCTACCAGCCCCCGCTATTAGTTGAGAGTACTTGCTGCTGTTGCTTCGGAAACTTCAAGGTATATCTGCTAGCGTTTGCAGACCTTGAAGTCCCCCTCTATCCCTTTATGTTGTTTCTTCTTTATTTTTCCTAGACATTGATGTATAGAGACAGTTAGAACATTTCCTTAGAGCTTGTGACTTGTGACTCTCGGGTCTTTGGGAGTTGTTTACACTCAGTATTGTAGTTTTACTTGTACATGTCAAGCGGTAGTTTTCCAGCTTATATATATATATATATATATATATATATATATATATATATGTTGTTGTTAATTTTTAGCCTGTGTTTCTATTATTGTTCAGTCATTTCGCATCTGTTAGGCTTACCTAGTCTTAGATACTAGGTGCTGTCACGACACCTTACGGAGGGAGATTTGGATCGTGACAAGTTGGTATCAGAGCTCTAGGTTCATAGGTGTTATGAGTCAAAAGCAGGTTTAGTAGAGTCTCGCGGATCGGTACGGAGACGTCTGTACTTATCTTCGGGAAGCTATGGAATTGTTAGGAAAACTTTCTCTTCTTGAGTCCTTGTCGTGTGAAATTTTTGACTTCAGAATTCTAAACTTCTGCCTTCTATTCTCTCACAGATGGTGAGAACACGTACAGCTGGATAAGATGACCAGGCACCCGCGCCTCCTGCTAGAGCCGCGAGAGGCCGGGCCGAGGAAGAGGCTGAGAACGTCCACGTGGTGTAGCCAGAGCACCTGCACGAGCTGCTACAGAGGAGCCACCAGTAGCTTCAGCCGGAGCACAGGCACCTGAGATGCTTGTTACTGCACTGGCTCTTTAGGAGACCCTTGCACAGTTTCTGAGCATGTTTGGCACTTTGGCTCATACAGGGTTGATCCCACTTGCTCTTGCCACATCTCAGGCCGGGGGAGGAGCACAGACCCGCACCTAGAGCAACGAGTTCAGGTCGACTAAGTTCCATAGGTCATACCAGTGCAGTCGGTAGCCCCAGTTCGGCCCGAGGGTAGGGCAGCAGATTCTGAGGGGGAGCAGCTCAAGCTCGAGAGGTACAAGAAG